CGAACCGCCCGATTACAACCATGTTAACTCATATTCAGGATTCGAATATAATTCAAGGTAGATGCCTTGATTAAGGGATATAGCAACATCTGAGTTTGCTAGTCGGTTTAGGGCTCATGGGGTTGAGGGTTTCAGAGATTCAGGGTTTCAGGATTTAGGGTGTTGAGAAATCTGAGTATCTTCTCTTTGCTTCAATGGGGTGTGCGTGTTTTCCCGTGAGCCTGTTCCCTGTCCCAGGTTGGCTAAGGCGTGTAATCAAGGGTTAGGGGTTCATATCCTTGAACCATCGCCCCCCGCTTCCCAAAACCTTCTAGGAAGGGACATAAGGAAATCACACTAAGGAGCCCATGGAAAGTAGGCTTATCAAGATGAAAAAACTCAAGGCTCACGTTCGGTTTATGCCGAGAGCCTAAGGGCGCAAGCTGATATGTAATGCGGGACCCAGAGTGCCGATTTAGTTGGTCTTCCCTTCCGCAACTAAGAACTAAGCCCTAAAGCCTAAACTCCAAACCCTAAACCAAGGTATACTCCTTGTTAATGGTTTTAGATCCTCTGGGTCCGGAAGCTGTGATAGTATTTAGGGTTTAGGGTTAAGGGTTTAGGGTATATACAACCTAACTCAATGCTACGGCTAGGCCAGCAACCGCAAAGCCCCGACCGAATATCATGTAAGGACCCTAAACCCAGAACCTTAAGGCCTACACCCCTCTTATCTAAAGCCTAAGGGCTAAAGCTCAATTTCCCACTTTAAGGCCCCGAAACCCTTTGAACAAAATGCTAAACATCCGATGGGATGCTGGCTGGCATTGTGGCAGGAGCTGATGGCACTGGTGAAGGTCACCACCTCTGCAAAAGGGTTTAGGTTTAGGATTTCACAGGCTTTCTTCCGGGCCTGATAGGGTTGCACTAGGGTTAGAGTGTTTGTAGGCTTTTGCAGGAAGGTACCCCAGTATCCGTTAGTGATACGGTTGATGATGTAAACCCTGCATTACCCATACTAAGGAATATACCATAATTCCCATAGTTTAGGGTCCTGAAGGTAATGCCAGATTTAAGAATTTTCTGAAGGGATTTCCCGAAACGCTCAAACCCTCAACCGCAACACCCTACTAATCCCGGCATGTGCAGGCTCTTGATTGGCTTAGGGTTTAGGATATAGGGGTTCAGGGCATAGGTGTGGGATCAGGGTAGAAGCGGCTTGAGGCCCTACATGCACGCTATGGCAAAACTTGCCAGGAAATAACAGCAATTCGTGTAGGCCGCTATAGTGGGCTCTTCCTTCCAACTCTGCTAATCCAAACCGTCCCAAGTGCCTAAAGCCATAATTGCAGTTCCCACTATAGAAAACTGCGCTTTTGCTTAATTAAGTACTTAGGGCCCTTTGCGCAAGAACCAATAAGCTAAGCCCCTGAGGTGGGCACATTCGCTGGCAACCTCTGCCTGCAGAGACTCGATTTGTCTGCTTCGGGTTTGGGGATCCAGATGACATGCACTAAACCCTAAACAGCCTAAACCTAAACCCCAAACCCTAAACCCAGACCTCACTCAGCTGCAGACCCACAACCAGATAGAAGCACGATGCTTAAGGGGATACTTAATCAGATTCTGTCCCACACCATATCCTAGATGCCATCCAGAACCAGATTCTGTCCCGAATACTAATTAATCTAGAAACTACTATCCTGGACCCAAGTACCTGTATTTGGTCCCTGAGCCCTAAGCCCCTAACCCGCTAAACCCTAAACCCCTCAAACCTCTAAACGACAAACATCCCAAAACCAGAATGCCGCCCGAAACTAAGAGGAGAGCAAGCAGAGCCTCGGCATGCTGTGGAGTAGCTCCAAGCAAAGACACCATAAGCTTTGCTGGCAACAAGCACCTGACTTTATGTTGGGGCTTGGGGCTTAGGGTTCAGAGTTTAGGGTCCAGAGTTTAGGGTTTAGCTGGCAACAAGCACCTGGTTTGATGTTGGGGCCTAAACAATTCGAATGGGGGCTTCAGGGGGATATTTTACTAGAGACTGCAAGGGGAGTTTTCCCGACCTCCATATTCGGCTACTTGGAGGTTCGCGGGCCTCAGTGAATAAGACGATGAGGGGTAACCGTAACTGGGGCCGTAGATATACCCCTACGTAGTTAACTTCTGTACAACGTATACTTGCTAGGTCCCATGATCCTTTCAGAACCCTAAGAGTCCATGCACTCATATAGCATATACATGGGCCCTAAAGTACCTCTATAGGGACTACATTAAGGCCAACGTATATACTATATGAGCACATGGACCCTTAGGGGAAGAGGTCTTGGCTTGAGTGTTCTGGTTTCAAGCATGGGTCTGCATGCTGCGCGTGGTTTCTTTATTTATCCTCTGGGGTGTCGTGCTCTGACGAAAGGTCTAACAACGGATTAAAAAGGGTTTAGGGTGTAGAGTATTTTAATGGGTATATGGTCTGCAGATTCATTGACAGATGGGTCTGGCAATTGGTTTGACTTTGACCACCATTGACAGTACCAATAATAATTTAATGATATCCCCCGCTAGACTGACACCTACTCCAAGTACAGTTCACCACACAGACACCTGATAATATCTCCATATCCTGGGATCGTGGTCGGAATACCTAGATAACTCCAGCCCTTCCAACACCCCTTATGAAGCCCCTGGCCCTATTCACGATGTTCCTGCAAACCTGCTTACTGGGTTAAGGCTGCCAGTATCCTAAACCCTAAACCCTAAACCCTAAACCCTAACCCATTGGCGCTCTTCATCCGGGCACTGATTGCGCTGCCGCAGCTCACCACATCTGGTTCCCGCGCATCGAAGAGAACAAGAGCCCTTTCCTTATCGGCAGCAAGGGCAGAACTTTGGGTGTCTGATTAAGGGTTCTGGGCTACTGTAATTGTTGTTTAAGCACCCTTTTCCGTCTGCATGATTAGCAGTGTCTAGGTTTAATTTAAGGTTTTTAGGATTAATTTAGGTTTCTGGATTCAGGCTTAAGGTTTAGGACCAGAGATTAGATTTTAAGGTGAAGTGTACAAGTTTCATGGTTTATGGCTTGCTGGCTAGCATCACAACACCAAGCCTCGCTCCCACCAATGCCTTGCCCCCAAGAAAGACCGGTGTAGTATAGAGGCCTGAATGTTTCGACGGAAGTGTTGGTACTAATCATTGTCAATATTACTATTCATAACGACTCATATGGGTAGTTCTCTAAATTAAAGTCCCTGTTTAGGTCCCCAGAATAGTACGGCACCCTTACAAAAAGGATCCTAAAAGGGACCCTAACTTAGAGAATTGCCCATATCAAGATGGACATAAGAAGCAGCCCAAGTGCCCAGGCGCCCCCACGCGCACAGGCATCCAAGGCAGAGTTATGGGTCACGACGCTGGGAGTCAGAGATTCCTGGACTTAGGGCTTCAGGGCTTTCGGGTTTAGGGCCTTTAGGGTTTAGGGCTTGTAATGCCTTTTAGGGCTGTTAGGGCTTTTAGGCTTAGTGCTTTAGGGCTTATACTGCTTGGGGTTGGGCTGTATAGGACATTGGGTTTAGGGCTTATACTGCTTCAGGAAAGGGGGGCCTTGGGATTTGGGGTATAGTTTGCTGTGCTTTAGGGCTTTTTAGGTTTAGGGGGCTTAGGGTTCAGGGGTGTAGGGTTTAGGGTGTAGGGTCTTGGGGAATAGGGTTTAGGGTTTTTGGGGCTTGGGGTTCAGGGGTGTAGGGTTTAGGGTGCAGGGTTTGGGAATAGGATTTACGGTTTTGGGGGCTTAGGGTTCAGGGGTGTAGGGTTTAGGGTGTAGGGTTTGGGGGAATAGGATTTAGGGTTTTTGGGGCTTAGGGTTCAGGGGTGTAGGGTTTAGGGTGTAGGGTTTTGGGGTATAGGGGTGTAGGCATTGAATCAGCAGCACAAGGCTTTTACGGAATTGAAGGGACAGGCTTGGGTGCTCTTGGCAGGCCTTGCGAAGCTGTGACCTTGAATTCCAAAGACTTCAGAGCGGCCTTCATACAGTAAATCCCAAAAAGTTAGAATTCGGATTCAGGACAAGTACGGTTGATGATATAAATCCTGCATTTTACCCACTTAAAGTAATGCAGGATATAGATCATCAACAGTAGTGCTGGGATTCCCTATACACTGGTCTTAAGGATTGAGGCTTGTGGGCTTCGACTACAATGAGAACTGTGGGGGTGCCAAAAGGGGCCTTAACAAATAGAAGAGGGTAATAAGGAACCCCCAAAATGTTGTTGATGATCTGAATCCTGCATTACCTTAAGGACCCTAAACTGTAGGGGTTATGGTATATTCCTTATTATGGGTAATGCCGGATGTATACCATCAATCGTAGTATAGGTAGTTTTGTTAAGAATTTTTAAGGCCCCTATAGTAGAACAGTGGCTTTTTGAGGGGTTCCGGTAAGGCTTCCCCCCGGCTTATCCAATGAAGGCTCTTGGGGCTTTGAGACCCAAATTCCAAAACAGCCAAAACGAGCACTGCCCAAAGGGTGGGGGATACTTTCCCAAATCATAATCAGGATTCCTATGTAGAAACCCTACATTCTACTATTTAGGTACTTTGGACCCTTTGAGTTATAGGAGCCGGAATGGCTAGAATGGGATTCTGGCGCACATCACAGGATAGTTCGAAGGGGATTCGATTACGAACTGAGACGTCTTGAATAGTAAGTGGGCAGTTTTCTAAATTAGGGTCCCTTTTGGGGTCCTTTTTATAAGGGTGCCGTACTATATTGGGGACCTAAAGAGGGACCCTAATTTAGAGAACTACCCAAGTGCCCCACATCCTAGACCCTCCACCCCAAACCTGGGATTACTAAGTCCTGTCGCGAATATGTTTGTCCGCGAGCCTCCCCAGCCGAAACTTTAAACCGAGAGACGCAAATGAAGTGATGTGGAGGGCCTTAACAATTTAGAATAAGGTTTTGGGGTCCTTTAAAGTACAAGTATAACAAGGGACCCCAAACTAGTAGTGGTACTTATTATTAAGCCCCCTATATTAAGGAACCCGAAAGGGGAGGCTCTTTTGGGGTCAAGTACACCGCAAACCTGGTATCTTAGGGAAACTCAAGGTTGAAGCATCGGAACTATTCAAGGGTTATCATACCCCCCGTTCCAAAAAAACATAATCATAAAGGATACCTACTCTACTACCTCAGCCTAAACCCTTAACCCCTGAATCCTCAACCCCTAAACCCCAAACCCCTCAACCCCGAACCCCTAAACCACTAAACTCCTAGTTGAATTTTAAACCACTAAACCCCTAAACCCTGAACCACTAAACTCC